TCAGTCGCGAGCTAATGCCTGTTGGTTCACCCACCAGCTGGCCATTTAGGCGATCGGATATTGCAAATCTGACCCCATGATCACGTGGTGCTGAGGCGGCGTTGCCCACCCAGTAGAATGTGTAGCCAGCACCTGCTTCATGCAACTTACCTTGCTCAGCGAACTGAGTTTCACTGAGCGCCGCAATATCGATGTGATAGCGCCAGCTCCATCGCGACCAGTGCAGTGCGTCGCTCGATGGGCGCTCATTGCAGTTCCGGTCAAGTAGTGTCCGCACGTTCCAGCACCCGATGCCGAGTGCTTTGCGCGCAGGCATACGATTGTAATTGTGAGCAATCGCACGCGAGATGGTCGTTGTGCTACTGAGGTTTGCTTGAGTGACTCCACCCGGAGCCTTTGGCTTAATGGCCTGACCCACAAGGCAGTGGGTGATTTGGAGGTTTGCTTGAGCGACTACGCTTGCAGCCTTTGATTCAACAGCCTGACTCACAAGGCAGTGGGGAGCAGATCCAGCTCGGGAACGTGATTGCAGAGACAGATTGGGATCTGCTTGACGGTCGTCACACGCAGCCTTTGGGGATCTGGAACAATTCATATATGTTTTGCGACCGTAGTAATTTACGCACCTGCGACCACGGCCAGACGCAGGTGGGTTTTGGCGGGTTTGCACCAATTTGACCACGGGCTGCCTGGCTTGAGGCGGACAGTAGCAAACCATTGAACACCGGAGGTGCGCTCCCACCGTCACAGACAATGCGTGGCACTCGTGCTCTACGCCAATCGAGCTGTGAGCTTATAACCCGTAGACCTGTTGTTTCCCATGGCTGGGTTTTACGAGAAGAGGGCCATCGACCACTTCCTAACCTCCGAAGAAGATGGGCTAGGATAATGGCAGGGCGCCCACACCTGACAGCGAAACGACTCGGGTCCTCAGCCAAAGCCTTCGATTAAGTTTACACCCAAAAGACAGCGGGTCTAGCATATGGTCAGTTCATTGACTCATGCGGATCGCTGTCCTGGATCTTAGCAGGGAGAAGGAGGAAACCCAACTCCCAAGCAGCGGTCGCCACGAGGAGGCGTCCAGGACATGAGCCAATGGCGCAACAGTAGCAGCAGTGGGTAGATCATCTGTCAGGATCTAGGCACCACCAGCCTCAGCGCACCATAGGCTCTCCCGCCTATATATATAGATATATATGGTTGGTTGGTGGCATCCGGTTTCGGATTTGCCTGTCACTGTGGTCAGCCACAGGACGCCTGCGCCTACAGAGGGACCATGGATGGCTTGCGCTGCACCACCCACAGCTCCATCCCCACACCCCATATCCAGTGTAAACCCGAAGAAATAAGACCGGGAGGCATGTGGATGGGAGCCACGTTTCATCAACCGAGCCGGCCCACACTCCTTCACAGACAAACACAAGCACGCTGTATTTGGGGAATCAAGTGCACACAAGGCGGTGGCTGGACCGTAGTCCGCTTCACTATGGGTGCATGGAACCACTCTTCGAGCCTAGCACGACCACAAGGACCATGCACCCCGTCCCCTCCAGCAACGACCAACTGTCTCCTGGAGCCAGTATGAACGAGGTAGTGGGTAATAGACAGGTAGGCACCTTGTCAACATACACATCAAGCGCAGCCACTCTGGGGATATCAAACAACAGCCATTCACTTTAAACGACAAGCTGAAATAAAATAAATCCAATAATGCATAGAGATACGGTGACATAACTCTTCGCTAAATTACAATATGAAGTAAGTTGGTTAGCAACGAATCCGCGATAAGTAAGAAATGTCCACAAGTTACTTAAAAATGCTACAAGTGTAACAAAATTACCGAAGATAAGCGCAATTAGCGAAAGCAACGTGGCCAGTTAAGAGAAGATTATTCAGGTAGGCAGAACAAACCAAATAAAGTGGAATGAAATTTATCCAGCTTAAAAAGACCTAGTTTAAGTGTAAGTTGGTTTAGCCCAACTGTGGTGAAGAAGCATCAAGAATGCAACATCAGCCTCAGCATGGGGCACTATATATATATATATATATATATATATATATATATATATATATATATATATATATATATATATATATATATATATATATACAAAGAAATAATGTGTCCAGCCTCTTGATGAGTATCGAGGGGCTGTTGTGTCGGAGCCCCGCGTCTACTTCCACCCACTAACGGTAGTGAGAACACGAACGAGCAAAGATTCAAGGGCCCTTGTTCATATGGAAACCACCTCCTCATATAGCATGACGCATCTAAAGTCCGAAAGGAACTTTGATGTATACCCAACCTGGATTGCTTACATGAGGACACGGTATCTCTATTCCTTAATTATTCTGCTCATTTTACATTGCTTTACTCTGTGCGCTACAATCGGTTACCATATTGCACATTTATTCCTTTCGCCGTCGATTGATGACAACTTTGACGTCTCAAGGTCATGCATATGATTTTGTTACTGTGATAGTGCCCAAATACTCGCATGCCGCCGCACGCTGTACAATTTCTGCCCTCCTGAACTACGATTGCAAAACCTATTCGTAAGTCATGTACTGTATTTAATATGCCTTATAGAACCACGGTTACAGGATAATTCGTTTTACTCTTTTGCCTAGACCGTGCGTTAAGTCTAGGTTTATTTGTTCGTAGTTTCTAGTTTAGTTTTCGTACGACGTACTTAGTTTAGGCTTCGTATCGTTGGTACAAGGCACAAGCGTGAAAGCCAACCGGAGTACGGGAAGCGTGCGGACATGTAAAGCCAATAAAGAATGAACAAATAAGGAACCAATCAGGTGCACGGAAAGTGAGTTCGTTAGCGTTAGAGTAGGACTGCGATCTGAAGGCAAAAATAACGACTCCAAATGGCTAATAGGGATAGCGAAATGATACGTTAAAACAAACGTCAATGTGCCACCAGAGCAAAACAAAAGTATGCAGTCATGAACGATTACACAAGCATATCTGCATTTTTATTGCTCCTCTAACAGGAGGCGGAAAGCATAGCGAATGTCCTCGCACTATGGTAGTGGTGTGGTGAGTAAGCGACTAAACGCAAATGTTAGTGAACTGCAGTGAAGCAACAACTTGGAGGTCAAAACAACTTTCGAGCACGGCGGCTTAGCACCGGCGACACGCATCACCCACTACTATCCAAAACGCAGGCGAGGTGAACAGCTCACGTAATAGCGCCAAGTTATGGATTGGAGGACATCCCAGTGTACTGTCAAATTTGGAGTATACGAGCTAGGGACCATTTGTCAATATTCAGCAGCGTATGCGAGGGACATTGGAAGCGATCGCTCCAAACGTGACAAAACCGATGGCTCATCCATACTGTGTGCCCGTAGCCGAATATAGGGCGGACGCGAAGTAAGCTGGAATACAGGTAAATTCAGGTACACCCATGCATAAGTTCCCTATCGCAGAGCCTTTTGTCGAGCATATTCCTCGACAGTTGTTCTAACGCGTCATTTTGACGGTATCAGTGGTGGCCAAAAGTGGTCGTCTGTGGGAACAGATCCCGAATCTTAACGCTGTCGCTGACCTATAGCTGATTGCATCTGCAGATTGGTCACCTTGTAGTGGTTCCGCACAGTTGGATGATTTCATCCTTCTCGTTGATTCTGATAGGTGTGAAGTTGGAAACCTTTCCGCTGTATAAACAGAGTGCCGTTTCGTGTGCATAAAGTCATGCTCCCACTCCCTGGCTCTTGCTAGCGAGGTGACGCAGTGAAGCACACCTATTTTGTGCTTGTTGGGCACCGGTGATAGGGGTTAGTGCTTTTAAAATAAACGCGGCATCTATGAACAACATATAAGAGTTTGGTCGCACTGACATCACTGCATGCGAGCGACGGAGTCAAAATTAGTCCCCTCCAATAGATGACAAGTGCGGAATTACGTTAGCGTTGCTGGCGATCTTTGTACCCACAAGATGGGAGGCTAATGGAGGGACGTTGTGTTGGGCGAGTGCGTCGAAAACCTGCCAAGAATACTATAAACTACCAGTGGGTCTTCAATGGTGACGAGTGGGGGAAGTTTTGGACAAAACAAAAACTTCGAAGGGAACACTGCACAACCATACTAAGCCAAACAGCTGTGAAGCAGGTGGAGAGACAACAGGGCGCAGTTCTGAGGAGCTTCTGTGGTCCACCCGACCCCAGTTGGCTCTAGCCGGTGATTCATTTCGATGGGAAGCGGCATTCATCATATCGTGGTGAGCCGGAGGTCGAATACCGAGATGACGGACATAGCCGTCAGAATACTAAGAGAACGGGAGCTTCTCACGGGGCACCAGGGTAACCGAAGCTTCAAACTCAGTTTACACACCAATAAGGCCTATTTACAAATCATCTGGGTGTTACCTCGAACAGCCTAATATACAATTAACTACCCTCTCTGATGGCCACTGTCGACGTAGCTGGCAAGCAAGCAGCAATGATCCCAGGCTGACCCCCTGCTTGCTCGGATCAATATCCCAAAATCGACCCCGAATGAGCGTGTTAATGACACCAAGTAGATATTTGTGTTGGAATGACGTGAACAAAACTCAAGTGGATGACGCGAGAGGAACAACCGGATGAAAGGCGCCAACTTGTCAGTGATTCCACTTGATGAGAGATATATAGTGTGCATGTGTTCTTTGGACAATATAATTTTGATCGAGACACACACTTTGTTTCTGATTCACGGAGAGCAACAAGGACAGTTGCCAATAGAAGTATGATTGATAGTGTGTAAACTCTGCGCACTTACGTATGACTTTTCCATCGACTGGTTACTTGGCTGCTGGCCTCCTATCCCAAGCGACTTTGTGCAGAGCAAGAATGAGTAAATAATAAGAATAAGAATAAGAATGAGTAACCCCATGCAAAAGTAGAATGACAGAGCGAGATCCCATATAAAATTATAAAAAATGTGGCTCCTTCTTAGAGACGTGGAATCTATCACGGTGCTCCAGCGCATGTACGATTTCCTCACTCACCGTGGGGATTCCGTTCCCAATGAAGTAGCACTTGAGGGTGTAGGCGCGGCCGGCGATTGCAGGTTTCTGCATCGATATGGGACGCAATCGGAGAGCGGTTTCCAGCAGCAGATATGTCCGGCAATCCGCTTGGCCATATGGATTCTTGGCAACGGCACAATACTCTCCACCGAAGGTCCACAGGTCGTTCAGATCGGTAACCTAGACAAAAATGCAGAGAATGAGGGTAAAAACCACACGGTGCGAAACAAAGATTATAGTTAGGCTCATCAGCGTGAGGGACTGTAAGTACCGTGGTTCTTGATGGTTACCGAAAACAGAACAACTGAATTGTTAAGAGATATTTTGGAGTACGCACCGAAATAAACAGGATCCGAAGGCACACTAGTTGCATGTGATTCAAAGGCATGGGATGGCCGCGACAATACATTACTATTTGATCCGCTTTATTTCTTGAGGATTCATGGGGCGTATGCAAACACACAGCGCATGCATATTGCCAGTGCTTAAAAAGATCCCGGGTACTAGGTGGCGCTTGTTCAAGCGTTCCTTCTGCTCTGGGGTTAACATACTTCCAGACAGCCTTCATTTCACACGCTGACAGTCACCGGGTTATGGGTGAGTCAGCCATCCAGTCAGAAAGCACGTGCTATGTCTCGTGACAATGTTTGTGTCTTTGTTTGCCTACGTGTATTGTGGTAGCTGGTGCTCGATTAAGTCGACCAATTTATCGATTAAGACAGCTCATTTCTGCCTCATTCTGATTCGCCAATCTCCATCACGTTTCACCAGCCTATCCTGTTCCAGCTTTCCACTTTATAATTATAAACGCCTGACGAGATTTACCGAAAAGAGTGCTCTGTGCAACATTGTGTTCTGGCGATTCATGTTTTCCTCCCTGATGCAGATTACATAAAACTTACTTCCTAAGCGGAATAAGTTGATAAGCCCAATCTTTCAGCCCAACAGTCTGGGCATGCTAGACATCACTGGCCGACGCTCGTCACACTGACCGGATTAAGAAGACTCGCTAAGCAGCCGAGAATTCCACCATCACTGTATTCACACAGCTATCATTTTAAGCGATTTCGATTGCCTCAGCAATTAACCTCTGGGGCTTCGATCGCATACCCTTCCTAACGACCTCGACATTATCCAGGTGTCCAACGTATGTACAGCTCTGTAATCAAGCTGTATTCAAGCTCATTCTTCGGCGGTCGGAAAATACACCTTTTGTGCTCTAAGATCCGTATTCGTAGCTGTTCGACCAATGTATACGTGTGCACATTCATCGCAGTTGATTCTATCCACACATTTCGTTGTTCTGTCTGTGGGAAGGGGGTCCTTTAAGCGCATCAACGTTGTCATGATTATCTCCCCCACTCGCTATAAGATGTCCTACCGACTATGCACTAATCCACCTGGCCTGATGAAGCATTTGCGTCAAAAGCGAAACCTTGCCCGAAAATCAACCGATTGTTCACAAATCCGTCTGAAATCATAACTTCTCGATCAGCTCCAAGTATATTGCAAGAGCTTGAAATTGTGATTTACTTCCAGAAGTAGTGGCTCATGTGTGCCAACCAGGATAAACAAAATGACGGGATAAAACAAACGGCAAAGGATGGACACAGTAAAGTAGGAGTGTGTAGTTGTTATTTGCTCCATAGATTGCGCGCAACTCTACCGTTCCCTTAACAGCAGCGCTTCTCATGCACAATGAGAGCACAGAATGAATGATGCCCATCAGTTGGTGATTGCCAGAATACTCCCTTCCCACGCCGGATTGCAGTGCAAACATGAACTCCTTGAGAGCCCGGTTACGTCATGCACTTTACATGACTACGGGTTGCCCACCTCGGCTTGTGCTGTTTGTCCGTGCAGCCTGGTCGAATGAAGCCTCCAACCAGTCAGCTGATGACATGGCTAAAGAGTAGGAGAGAAGTGGCTGGCGATTTGGCCGAGTTAGGGGGACTCTGCATACCCACCTCGGCGGTTAGAAGCCATGCCGGATATGGACAGAGCGAAAAGTAATGACTTAGTTGCTTTCGGTCTACCGTTTCCAACTGCTTAGGTCACCATTCAAATCCAGGAAATATTTCAACTCCCCTTTCATATGTGATTTATTACCGCTCTCCTCATTGTACCATCGATACATCTGCTAGGAATTCGAGACGCGTCATATCGATCGTGTTTACGGTGCCACGGTACTCGAGCAATAGGCGGGTGAAGTGAAAGGTGTCAAGTGGTTACGCCCACCAATACGCGTGCACAAGTCAAACTGATATCAAGTGAGAGAGAGAGAGAGAGAGAGAGAGAATTAAGGCAGTGGGTAAGATGTACGGTTGCTATGTGACGTGGAGGTAATCTGGGGAGAAAAAGTTGATCAACATGAATGAGTAAAGTCCACATTTTTCCGACGTTTATAAACGAACATTCGGAAGGTTTATTTTAAACTCACCCTTCGGATATCCACAGTAAGTCGAGTGACTGTGGTGTATGCCGTCGTGTTGTCTGCAAACACCTCGGGAGAAATGACGCCGGACAGATCCAGCGGCACAGGTTGATCATCACGGTACCAAACAATGTTGGGGACAGGATTGGCCGCAAACCGACATTCTAGTGTCACATCGGTCACTCCTGAATGTATAGAGAGAAGCACTTGGGCTGCCCGTGAGCCAGCTTCGACCGTTGGGTGCTGCCAACTCAGAGACGGTCGCATTTTTCCCATCATCAGCAGCGCGGTGGCTTGAGCATTGTCGATCAAGTCCCCAACTCCTTCCGCGCTAGCAGTCAGAGTGGGTGATGATGGCGTGATGTTACTGTCCAGCGGCTCGTCCTCAGTTGAGCCAGCCTTCCGAGCCGTTGCCACCGGTTTATCATAGGTTACACCCGGACTGCTGACACCAAGCGCCAATCGCTCAGCTGAGTGGCCATTCTCAGCGATACACTGGTACACACCCACGTCCTCTAAGGTAAATGCTTCGATGATTAGACGTTCGGACACGGTTTCGGGGAGTCCACGAGTCTCACCGAGAGATTGATCCGAGGATGGGGAACTCACTGTTCTCAGATGATGTCTACGAGGGATCACGTGTGCATTGTGTAGCCAATACACCAACTGACGAGGATGGCCGACAATTTCGCATGTGAGTTCAACTCGACTACCCCAATCCACAGTGCGTTGAGTTGGAGTTAATTTGACGCCTAAGGAAGCTAGATTTGTATGGGAACAGGGACAGAGGAAAAGAAAATAATAACTAAAAGAGAGCGCCTGTTAGGTTATGAGAAAGCTACTCGAGGAATCAGTAGGTGAACGTCTAATGAGGATGGTGAAGAACAGCTTAACCACACCTTTAGGCGCATACAGAAACAAGGCCGGGATGCGCAGGATAAATGTTGGGAAAAGGGGTATTAGTGCGGTATAGAGGCGAGCGGAGTTATTCGAAGTTGGACCACAAAACACTTGAGGCCAGTCGGTCAATCGGTCCAAAATGCATCCGGTATCCTGATGTGGAGATCAACGAAGAAACTTTGTGTACGCAGCCAGCTAGCCAACACAACGAACAGAAGCTATCAATGGTATGGTTCGGTGTCTGCATTACTGTGTGAGGAGGGTAGTAAGAACCACATTCTTCCGAACGAAGAAATCCCCATTATGACCGGAGTCATCGTGCACAGTTAGGCAGACTACGGCAGTGTTGATAAAAAGTCGCGGGCCCGGGAACCGGGAATGCACTGATGGGGAAGGAGAGTAGTCGGTGAACAGTTCAAACACTCAGCATATGATACCAAAAGGAAAAGAAAGAAATTCTTCGGGGGCAGGTAACTGTCACTTTTGGGGGCTAGACATTGGTGAGCACGTAAAACGAAGGTAGAATGCACTCGACACTGGCGGTCCCAAATTCATCCCCGGACCTACCGGGTTACAGAATCTCTTTGGGGTCTATTTCGAATATAACTACATGTAACAACAATCTGATTGGAAGACACCAATGTCACTGTGGCAGATAGAGCAGAACAACACATTTTCCAGTTAGTAATTCGCCGGTACAAGCTTATCAATTTAGTAAACCAACCAATAGTCAAGAGGAGCAGCTCCAGATAAGTTCTGATTACGTATTTGAGCAAGCCCATTGCAACGAAAGGAAAACGTTGAAAACGAAGTCCTAAACAGCGCCGCAAATGTCGTCCGTCTTGATGGATAGACCCGCTGCTGGAGTGATGACCGAACCTGAATATCCCGTCAAGCACCGATGAACTAACGACACGTGTAGACAGGCTTGGGTCGTCAGATTTCGGTACGATATTCCCAAGAATGTAGGATATAAGCTCAAAACTAGACGAGAAGAGAGGCATCAGGAGTACCCGCGGAGACTGGAAATACTGCGAAGTTGTCTCCACCTACGCAGATTCGAACCGCCGGTAATCTTTGGGCCACGATGCAGAGGCCTCATCCCTTCGGCCACTGGCCAACAAATCTAGACGAGAATGAAACCGAAACCCACCGGTGGAATAGACCTGAGTGACGAGAAATTTGTATTAAGAGACCAAAAGTCGCTGTTACTAACCACAGAGAAATTTTCCCGGCCCCGTTGGGGACACCACATGAGTTTACTCTGGAGATATAGCAGATATTCGGTTAGGCTGCACGCTGCGACTTTGGATCCCGAGAAGCAATCACAATATGGACCGGGAGCAACTTAGAAGTCGACTTCGGTCATCACGGCAGGTGGAACTGCACACAGAATGGAGACAGTGTGACTGTCTTTCTGCCCACTGTTGTACTCAGTACTGCATTCATCGTTCTCCGAGCTCTCCATGGCGATTTTGACCCCAGCAGTGTGAAGCACACAACAGCCACCAGCAGAAGTAAACTCTTCCATGTAGTGCAAGGTTGAGAGCAACACTCAAAGGTTTCGTCTCTAACTCGATAGACAGTAAGCTAGTGACCGTTTGCAGTACGATACTCGGGTAGATAAACCACAGAACTAGTTAGCATAGCGGTGTGAAAATGGTGTCCGTTAACGATGGAGATCAGGGCACAGGGTAGGCTAGGAGCCAAAGAATGCAATACTACACACGGCGGATTTGATGTCGTCACATCTAACACGCGGCCAAAAACTTACAACAAGAGAACCAATGAAAGTAAGATAGCAAAATAAGATCAAACCACGGCTGATCAGATGAATGGTCGTGCCTATGATCCATTGTTAAATGCGAACACGATGCGGTGAAAAGTACATGTTGTGGTGACGCAGGCGATGGCCCATTGCAGGGCAACGAGGAGATGGCATGATTCACTGATCGGGGCCTTGCTAGTCGAATCACAGAAATGTACGACAAATCTGCACTCCATCAATGAGATGCGAAAACACTTCCGTAGATCGTCTAGTGGTGCAAGCTGCCAACAAGGCAAGCGTTCACAAACTCAAGGTGGTCGTGGATTGGATAGCTTTTAGTGTCACACATACTGCACTCACGTTTAGTTTAACAGTGCACGCAACGAGTTCTAAGAACACATCTTAGGAACACACGAAAAACACAATTGCAACCTCTAAACACACACACACGAGGTAGTTCCTGACAATACCATCTTGCAGGGTTGGAAGGTGCCCGAGCAACGATTCCTACGGGAGGGAACGGACGGATGAGTGTAGTGTAGCTCCAAGGAAGTCCAGATGTCTACCAGAGCTATTCAGTAGCTCAGCAAGTATCAGTGCGGATGTATCGATTCGTCACGGTGAGTCAATTATCAGAATGTCATTGGTGCCAGAGCTTAACTTGGGAAAATGACTGTTGGGTGGATGGACGTTCATGTCTGAGAGAATCGACATATCACATGTTAATGTGGCAACTGATGTTTTTGTTCCCATTCGAATTGGACGAACCTCTACGAAGGATGGAATATGTTCCCACAGAAGGATGCAATCATCAGTGTTCCCGTAATGGAAGCAACAACTCTGCTATTGCATTCTATCAGACGGCCACGTGCGTACTCTGTACGAAGGTTGCATTGTGGCCGATTCACTCTGTCTGAGTATTCAGAGGCTGTGTATGACGAAAAAAACACTGGGGACGTTTAACCTGATTTAAAGTCCACACAAATAGTTCTCCCCTCCTGTTCAATTGTACCTTTGTGTAAACTGTGAACAGTATGATGCGAAACGAATGATGTCCAACGTTAATGGTGCCAATTTCTCACGTGAACACACAACGTGTGCTTCAAAACCCAAGAAAGAACTTCTAACTGCTGCGTCAACGCTTGTTCCCGGAACTCCATGACTTAGTGATGAAGCAGTCAGCCGACAACCAATGTGTCAAGCTTTCACTCCCAGCTCACCTTTCGCCACCTGAGTAGTCCGGGCAAGAACGACACTACTGGTGGAGTGGAGCGTTGGGAGCGAACAACACCGCAACTCACCACCTTCTGATCGAGTTTCATCTTGCAACTGCTGTTAGCATAGACTGCGGGTGGAGCCATGGTAGTGAGCGGTCGACGTACGACTAAACATGGCCGCTGGTTATGGATCGATAGCATGGTTCTGCCAAGTTACTCAAACCTGTACAGGCACCAAGAGTCGAGGCTTAATCTGCTGAACAGCTGGGTGAACGTGGGACCATAGTGAGCCAAATTAAGTGTCAAATGATGTCAGAGATTCATACCGCACAACTTACCACGAACACGAACTACGTATTTGACCCGCAGCACCCGAGCGGCGTTTGTTGATTCGGCAACATAGTGACCGGAATCAGCCACAGACAAGTTGATTAACCGTAGATTGCTGTACGGACCATCGACAAGTTCGTATTCTGTACCCCATGGCAAAAAGCGAGCCTTCCGACCGACAGCCGTGGTCACGCGATCCAGCGAGGTCGCTGTGTTGACGGTGGTATCTAATTCTGCGGTTGTCGAACCCAAAGCAATTGCGTGACGCGTACGGCTTGCGTCGTTCAGATAGAACCAATCCACACCAACCGGTGCTTCCCCTTCTACAGCCCATGGCAGTTCCACAGTGGAACCCTGAAAGAGGAAAGCAGAATGGAATTATTAACTTAATCATCAGTCAAGAAGACGCAAAGCATTTGTAAACCCATATCACGGCGTAAGACTCACACGAAGCACGTTGACCTCCGCCCCTACGCTGCGCAATTCAGTGTAAGAGAACCCGAATTGGAGACGCTGTAATCTTCCGCGTTCGGGGCGATCCACTTTAACAGACTCGTCCACGATGGATTGGAGGATGCAACGGACTTCGAGGCCAGCAAGTTCGTCCTCAGTAACCGATCGTATGTGTAACTCTGGATGTTTCGTCACGTTGATCATGCTGAAGCGTCCAACTGGGGACGGGAGAAAAGGATGAGGGTTGTGAAAGCTAAAAGCCGGACTTTGGCACGCCGAATTAAGTCTCTGAACTGAGCCGACATCGACACGGGTAAAATAGAAACAATATGCGGATGGGTGGAATGACTATCAAAATCAGTGTATCAGTGCAATGAGTCGTTATGGTCGGGTAAAGTGAAGTCGGGGTCAACTGTCTAGTGTTACCCGCCCGCAACACCGCGTTCCACCACCGCGTTTGCACTTGTTAGTACTCATCTGGAAGAAATAGCAGAAGTTTGATTCGAACCGGGGATGCAGACACCCAGCCGAAGCCTTTACTGATCGAGGCTCGAGGTAATGTTAATCGCAATTCAAATAGGAATTGAGTGTCACAATCCTTTCCTACAACTGGTGCTTCAAATAAACCCACAGTGAAGTTGGGAGTGTTTCCAAGGTTAGACAAAAGGAAAGTACGGCAGTTTGGCCATTCAGGCCACTGTTTCGGACCGGCTAGGAGGTATGGATCCAATTTATAGCTGGACTCGACAAGGAGAGAGGAGAGGAAGTGTGGAAACTCAATAAGGAGAAAGGGATTAAGAAGTCAGAGAAGGAAGCGGTCTGTATCGCTGGATCTGGATTCAGTTGAGAAGGCATTCACCAAGTAATGAGGCGGCATTCGAAGAACAAATGCGACAAAATACCACAAGGACCACAGAGGAAAACAAAAAGACGACCTGCGGCGGACGAGTGCAGGAACTCCCAGTATCGTCCGATCCACTGAAGCTAAAAAAATTGAGGATGTGATGGAGCCTGTTCGTTTGGATCAATAGAATCAGAGGTACAAGGCAAGGGACGGTTCGTGATCGATTGGCACTGCAAGATTAGCAACAATCCATGCACGCGCGAGCGATTATCGCACTGTAAATTGCAATGGTCAGTCAGCTCAATCGATGAGCAAGTTATGTTTTCTACCTGAGGCACTCCCATCAGTATAAACCAATTCCGGATCGCATCAACAGAGCATGTTTGGCGGCATCAGGTTTCGAATTTGCCTGTCACCGCGGCCTCCACAGGACAGGCACAGGACGCCTGCATCTACAGAGAGGCCATCGGTTAGCTGCGCTGCATCACCCACATCTCCATTCACACAGCCCTTATCCAGTGTAAAGCCGAAGGAATAAGACCGGGAGGCATGTGGATTGAAGCCACGTTCCACCAACGGATCCGGCCCACGCTCTGTCTATTAGGGGATGTTCAATGGATATATATTTTTTGTTATAATTCTTAGTCGCCTGCTTGCGTTTGGCTATCGGTTTGTTTCTTGACAATTATTTAAACGTATCATTCCTTTGCTACGACTGGCTGGCCTACGTCGTTCATAATGAATGCGATCTCAGAGGCCTATTTCCATTAATACCATTTCCTAGAACTCGCCTGACTGATTCTTTCCTTTGCCACTTTTCATTCGCTCGTATTGTTCTTTCTTGCCTATGATGTTGGTCAGCTCCAACGTGCTTTAGTAGCTTCGCTTCATAAACCATTGTACCCTATCTAAGGTAGCAGTGTTCCCATGCATAGCATACAACTAGGCCCTGGCTCATCGCGTTCTTGTGGTCGTGGGGGCGCGAACAGTCAGCGGCGACACATCTTCAACATGCACAGCAGTAGCATACTTGTCTATCTCGTCTGGGAACCATTCATACCAAACGTACACATGGTGGTGGTTGGGACGTAGTCCGCTCCACACTGAATAGAACCACTTTTTGAGTCTAGCACAGCCCGAGGACCGTGCACCCCGCCCCTCTAAGCAACGATTCACAGTCTCCAAGATGCAGTAATCGATGTGGAAGGTGTTAGACAGGCAAGCATTTTATTAGTATTCGCGTCAAGCGCAGTCACTCCGGGGATATCAACTAACTAACATAGGATTTGAAGGAAAATAAACACGCACCGTTGAAACGAAACATGTAGCAAAATAACAGAACAGAGCAAATCATTTAAAGCGGGATGTAGGTTACCCAAATTAAGAAGATCTAGCTTACGTGTAAGTCGTTGTAACCCGACTGAGTTGAAGAAACATCATGTGTGCGATGTCAGTCTCAGCATGAGGCACTCAAGGAAGCACAGGGGCATTATATTAATAGCATGTTGCTCATAGTGAAGCTGTTCGATCGCGGTCCAGAATTTGTTCTTGATACCTTGAGGGTCGCACAACAACAACTCATCTCAGTTTGCTGTGATAATTCAAACATAAAACGCTGTAATCATAAGGGTTTAGTGAGGTGGCCACGTGTACCGCTATCTACAAACTGCAGCTTTCCCTTAATCTTGAAGTTGCCATCCTCTCCGTACAACATGCCATCTAGTGGCAGCAATTGAAGAAACTCTACACACATACAACAGACTAAATGAGGAGAATGATCGGAAAAGTGGATCATCTTTCTAAACCAGTAAGGTCGAAAGCAGTCCTCCGTTTACCAATTGTAGGAACGCCCGATTATATTTCATTTAACAATTTGTCTCAGTAACAGAGCGCAATCTTCACTTAACAGTAGTTGAGCACGCCTGATATGTGACAAAATTCACGAAACGAATATGCGCCAGCACGGGAGGTTATTCTTTGACGATAGTTTGTTCAAAAATTAACTAGTCCCGATAATGTCACTGTGACCTCTGATGTTCCCCAGACTACAGATATGGACGAAAAACGGCTACAAAAAGGGCGTCCGTGCGAGACTAATTAGGATGGACGAATCCGGTGCACTGGGATAAATCGGTACCCAATGAAAGAAAAAAGAAACGGGCAGAAGTTGCATATCGGTTGTAACTGGCAACGGTGGAGTATTATTTATTGACAGTAGAAGTCCCGCGGCATATCGCGCCGAAGCGAAATGTGAGATTTCAGTAGAACAAAACCTAGTGCGTGACTACTGTACACGAGGATCAAAGCCAGTGCGGTGGACGGCAACTCGAGTTTCCCTGCATCAATGAGAGGGAAATGTTTGCAAATATGGGCCATAAATAAACTGACGAGGATTAAGAATGGACAATGAGAAGAGGAAATTAGGTGCGCTGTGGACACGGAGGCTAGTATCAGAACAAGAGGATCGTAGTTCGCTGGATCTAAGGTTGGTGAGGTTGACGATGGATAACGGCGTAGACAAGCTGACTGTTGCCCGGAATCCGGATACAGGCGAAAAACAGTATCAGACTGGCGAGTAAGTTCACTCTTGTGTGGGGTGAAGGTAGGTGGATCACATAAATCAGTCGCGATCCGTTGCTTGTCTAGATCACATAGTTGCCGGGTGACAATAATCGTAAAACCGATCGCGGCTCCGAAAATCTAGTCAAGGAATACCTCTGCGATCCCAAGGCAGCCAGACTGCATTCCGCACTGCGTATACGGGTGAAGCCACCACACCAGCATACAGGCCAAGCGTGGTCTAGTGCAATGTTTTTGCAGAAGAGACATTCAGACATTCACTCGCAACTGCCGAATACACGGTGCATGCCAGTGGCTATGGTATGGCCAGCCGTCGCGTTTGATGTTGTGCAAATCGATCCGCGCATCCATCATTAGCGGACACATTTGTAGACGTCGACCAACAGAAGATGGGCTACAGCGTGCTGTGGAGTTAGTTGGTGCGGTTGATACAGAAGTTCATCAGAACGGAGACTGTGCCATTTCCAGAGAAGGTTACATACACATGGGGTGGTAGTAGAGGGAACGAAATACACAATTTTCTGGACGGAACTGATCACTTCACTGAACCAAAACGTGAGGTGTATTGTTTAGGCGTTGGACCGATGATAGATATCAATTTCGCCTGTATGGGCGACCGATTGGGGCAAGACTGGCTATGCGACCGACTGTCCGAAATGCTGCGGCACAAAAGAAATCCAAACCGCTGATAGATTGGGACGAGTTGGGCCGATGCAGCTGTGAGGAGCGCTTGGGTAAAAAAAACAAGAATACTAGTCCTTTCACAGTTCCACGCGAAACGAGATCGACGAAACTAGAAGTATCACGAGGAACCAGAAAAGAATGAAGAAATACAAAGTGTACAGGAGGATACTTACGCACTGAGAAACACCGCCTCGGTCGATAAGACAAGCGACTAATCATAATCGTCTAGATTGGGCCGACACAAGATGAGACGCAACAGCGGGACTAAATCAAATGGAACCGAGGCAGAGGACACAAGCAAGCCGACAGAACCGAATTCGCACCTGAAGGCTAAGGACAAAAAGATATCGATAGTAAGCTGGGTTACAGGAAAGATAATGCATCGCTTTGTAATCAAAAGACTGCAACCCGGTTCTCGGTAATCCACCATCAGATCCCATTTGGAATACGCCATCCACGCCTGGCAGCCCTGGCAAAAACACGGTCTCATCGCACTTGGACCGTCACAACGAATGGCGACCAAGAACGCAAACGTTCTGTTTGATCTCCTTTACCAACTGAGTTTGAAAACCGTTAGGGAATACCGCGGACAATATGGACCCCATGCGGTGATTTGATACTGACTTATTTGATGCTGTGAAATCCAAACTATGCTTCTCGTTACCTTCTGAGGCTGAATTACGATAGTATTCTGAGAGATCACCAGCTAAAGCTGTCCACACAGTATAGCCGGTTGGAATGCCACTGGAAATTGGTTCCACTTCATGTGTGACAACTTTGGGAAGCCCTCCTCACTTACGCTGTTACTTCCTCCACACTGACGGTATTCAAAAGACGTCTCGGTGATACACTCATACATTTATACTACGCTTTAGTGCGCTTTATGTCTGGGAGTCAAACTAACTATGCCAATCAACGTGCTCATTTTCACCTCTGTGGAATAGCATTAGAATGTACCCAAACTGGTTTTACGTATCATCTTGGTCAAAGGAAGCGGCGCACACGAGTGAGCGTTGTCATTTCCTTTCTTAAATTTCCTTACGGATTACGTGCACTATAACTGCTCCCCATAGTACTTTGTGTGTGCACACTCGATTCCCATTTCAAACTATCTTGATGTAACAGTGCAAGTTAATCGGTAGACGCTTACACTGAGGCTTCACTTACGCTCCGATCCTTTTAGATTAGTGACCCTCCTACGGGACTTGTTAAGAGCACCTACTATTTTACCCGTGATAAATCATTGATCATTGTTCAAATCCCTACAGCCACGCAACAGGGGCAGCGATACGTTTCGAAGGGTAATAAGCATTCCTTGTTAAATAGAAAGAAGTCAGATGTGGCAAATGCGTTATCGCAAAAATAATTACAGTTGGAAATAAAGGACAGCGTTATCACACCAGCGCTGAGAATCGGTCGTTAGTTGAACGTAAATGACTTACAAGATCGATCTACCGTAAAGGTCAGTGTGCCGTTGAGGTACACCTCCCAATAGTTGACCTTGAGGAAGCGATTAAAAATTCCCTGTTCAGGATGACAGCTGACGACAGCCTTTTGAGAGGGTTCAATTGGGAATGTCGTATAGATAATGCGTAAATTTTCGTCTGGCATAGGGACTGAAGAGAAAAAAGAAAAAAAAGGCAATACGGTACAAAGTATTGAATGAAACACTGCACCTGGAACTCCCACAGCAAATAAGAGACTGGTGTCTATGGTGAGGTTGAAAACATCGGCGATCCCTTAGGCCACAAATGAACAGCCTCCGAAGGAGTAGTTCCTCTGCATCAATTTGATTATCAGTCATTTATATCCTAATCCAAAATAAAGGATTTTAAATGAACTTACAAAGAGCCTTTTAAAGAATAAACCCTATTCGTCTCTGTATGACAGTGAGTATTCGATGGCCTACCTCACGATGCGACAGCCAAGAAAAGATAAGTTTGGGCCCAAGTAGTTTGAATTATAGGACCGAAATGGCAAGTTTCCGGCTGTAGCGAAAGCACTGGGGACTCTCTATTTCATATCCGCAACATTTAAATAGCTGAAACACATTTGCCGTTGACTATAGTATGGCGAAAAATGGGCTCGCACATCGCTCGAGGCGCAATCGCACACATACACACACACACACACACCGCTAATCACATCGAGGTGTCCACAAATTGGCCACTGTTTGGATAATCAGGAATAGTACCAGTGTGAAGCGGCAGTTCAACGGCGTTTGGCCATTGATGGTGTTAAACTCTCGAAAGAATTGCGTAAGAAATCAGGATTCCCGATGCTGTGTCAGGTTAACCATGAGTGGAGGCCGACGGGATTGTATAACGTGAAGGTGCACAAAAACGAGGAATGTACAAAAACACTTTCAACACATGAGAGGTAACCTGAAAAGTTCATCCGCTTCCATAGTGGACTCACTGCTGAGGAATGGAACGTACGGTAAAAGTAAAAGGAGGACATCACGCTGTTCTAACTGATCCTGGTTACGAATATCAACAACGCGCACTCCTCCCCAGCTGCATTCACGTGACTACGAGAATGGCAGGCCACAAAAGAAGTCTTCTTCGTCCTGCTACCATATCGATGGCAGCCAGCTTGGGCTCCTACATTGCCTTCTAGCGCATCACAAGTAGGGTGGGTGGATAAGTGAGCGGAGGGCAGGAGAATGCCCACACACAAGTGGGTGGATGAAACCTAGCCGATGGCAGTGAGTGCTGACTGATAACGTAGCCGTCTTTGTGATGCAGAAGACGGTGTAGAATTGTCATCTCGACCCAGTGATATCATGCCAAGTGTTGTCACATGTCATATGCCGGAAATACTCAGAGAACACTGGAGCAAAGTTTAGGAGTGAAGATTGACCGATGTTGTGACTGTACCGGCATCCGGATCGGTCGTTCACAGTATGATGATCACGATGGCTAGCGAAGATCGCGAGCACGCGATAGATTAGATTGCTCGAATTATTAACATCTGCTGGTCTGTCTCCAGGTAGGAGACAGAAAATCAAGATTAAATGTTCCGCACACTTTCCAAGAAATTTGGTTACAAATTAGGCCACAGAGTCCAGCATCCAAACTTGCGTGATATAAACGGGTTAAAAACTCGCTAACAGTTCGATGGTTACGGAGAAGCCAAACGGGAGGCGTCCGTACACGCAATTCAGTTGATCAACTATGATCCGAGCACCAAAGTGCGGTAGATCCAGAAACCGAATGCAGGAACGAACGGAGTGCCTGACTGTGCCAAGTCTGGTACAGTCTTCAACCATTGATGTGGATCATCACGAGGCCCCCATCCACGAAGACGGTACGCGTTAGTCTGATCAAGTCTCTCAGTCAATTTCTTCCGCCTTCCATGCCGTGTCATGGACTGGCCACTTAGAGGTTTCGCCCAACTTGGTGCAGCCACGGCGTATAATGCACGCCGAGGAAGCCGACCAACGGGCATACGGAGGACATGGAGTAGACAACGCAAGCGACTAAGGTTTATAAAACACTCGAGAGGCACCAGAAAGCTTCTTGCCAAAAACCAACTGGCAGACTTCAGCATTGCTCATCCCGTGTTCCCACTAAACGTGAGCAAATACTTCGCAATCACCGGTGTTCAAACACGGCCAATCGTTTAATTTATTCACTTCGAACTGTCCATGTCTCTGATATATACAGCAAGACCGACCTTACCACAACGTTATATATCCTACCTTTCACTGAGAAGCTGATATCCCGCCGTCACCATAGATGGTTAAGTCTGGAAAGTCACACGCGAAGTAACTGCCTCAGTGATGTGATCAACAGAGGTGACACAACTACCAAGGCAAGTGAACCGATCCCACTTCCAGTGGCTGTCCGGTGACAGCTAGAACCGGAGGTGTGTCGGTCCAGTCCTGCAGCAGAACTTTGCACTTTGAAGTTACAAAGAATATGCCGAAGCGTGCAGCGCTACGCGTCAGTCTATGCAGCAGTGTTTGTATAACCATTGCGTCGGACCCAGAAAGAGCTGTCGTCCGCCCGTACATGCATAGTTGACCAATCGTAAGGAACTTCCAAGTCGATCAAGTAGTTGAGCCCAACTGTTTGAGTCGGAGTACCAACTAACGATAGGTCGCTGTAGCCCATTTCGGACCAATGGAATCTACAGCATCGGTCGAAACTGAAACACGGTAGACAGATGACAGCATCCAACGTAGATGAATGCGCGACGGTGGATAGCACGAACAACACGGTTAGCCTAGACTAACGGTTGATTGTTCCCAATCCATAGTCGTTTTAAATACAGAGCTTTGAGTAAACCGCACGGCAATCACGTTTTGTAAGCACTGATCCGAACTCGAGGCGAACTGGAAGTGTGAGTAGTCGGCCAACAACTTGTCACACAGTGGATGAGCAGAGCGGCAATCTGAAAGTGACAGCATTAAGATGTGCGAGCTGCAGACGATATGCAACTCTTATGAACGGCCTTCAGACAAAAAGGATCGACGAAAATGACGAACCGACACCAGCATTAGCGTATGCGTCTGTATGCTCTAGTCAAGAATGCGTGCTGATTCGATTTGAGCACATCATGATCGATATGACTTGGGCCGGTGCCCTAAGGGATAAGGCCTCTGCCTTGTAACCCAGAGGTCACTGGTTCGAACGTGCGTAGACGTGGGCGACCTCGCAGTGTTCCTAGCCTTTGCGGAACAGTGAGGCGTTGGTGCGGCGTACCGGAGTACTGCGGATGTCTTGTAACAGTAACCATACGTTTGAGTTACAGGTACACTATGCCATAGCATTCTGACTATATGCCGGCATGGCTGTTTAAACTAGATGCAACCGGGGCATAGAGCCATCGGTTGAGGACTTCGGTGGGCAAACGAGATGTCCGTTCGAGGCGACGGACAGGTGAGCACGCATGGCCACAGGGAACAATGTCATCACCAGTTAAATACCAAGTCAACATTGTTCACTCTGGATATCCGTGCCTCACCTGTCTCCTCGCCTCAAACAGACATCTCGTTCGCTCGCCCAAGTCCTCAACCGATGGCACTATGGCTCAGTTGGGTCTAGGTTAAATAGTCATGGGGACATATTGTCTGAATGCACTTGGCTGATAAGGGTTGACAACTCAAGGCTTCGTGGATGCAATTTTCGTGGTTACCGGGTTATAGTTTTTGCCTTAAGGATGTAAGCTACCGCGCTACGGATGAAAGTGATTGTGTTAAGTACGCAATTAATTGAGAAATGATATAGAAAAGATGGGAAACCACACCTACAAGAAAGATTGAGCAATTGTATCTGCCAATTCAAGACCCCATTGATCTGCACGCTTGAACATCGGTCCCTGAATGTGAATTAACATACGGGTGCCTAAGGGAAAACGAGGGGTGGTAATGACCATTGCTAGATTTCTGCGTCACGGTGATCACACATGGACTTTGCCACAGTGGCAGTGGAATGCATCAAATACCCGTTTAACTTGCAGGTTTGTGTCAAAAAGTGGAACACCGGTAGTGAGTTAGGTGCGGAATGCAGTGCGTTGCAAAGTGTAATCTCCCCTAGTTCGAGTACAATTTTCTAGATGTTTTTTGCGAACATGCTAATTTGCTCCAACAAGTGAACCATTCTCCTGTCTACGAGTTGGCTTGGCCGAATCAGCTTACTGGTCCAAGTCAAGCCCTTCATTGCTGCACAAACGCATCGTGACACTTCTTCATCGTTTTGAAAGTAACTTTAGTGGCGAAAAACCATGGTAATTATTGCTTCTACGGAGCGCCGCGGGGTGATACAGAAACACAGGGTAGACACAAATGCTAGAGGTCTGATACACTTCACACTTACAAGCGCTCTGTACTCCAAGCTGTTTGACCATTATGTCTTTCAAGGGGTACAGTTCTTAAACCGCACTTTCCGTATCTTTTACAGCACGCTTGACACTCCACTTTGGGCACCTGCAGTGGATGCGCACTAGTAGTTCAAAAGCGAAGTTGAACAATCAGATTGTAGCTAGCGTATGTAAAATGTGCACGGATGCACTTTCTAAAACGATGATAATCCGTGGAGCTTGGACTGGAATGCCTCTATGATGTTCGGTGAGGTGGACGGATGAGTACTACCGAAGCATGGCAGCTGGTGCCTAGTACATAGTCTCCATCTTTGTCCTCTATCACCTGATACAAAGTAAGCGGGAGCGCTGTGAATAGACTCTTGATGTCGCATTCAATATCTTGTACTATGCTGGTAGCAATCGAAAGACAGAGTAGGCCAAAGAGCGATAGGTGCCACCTCCAGAATCATAAGGTGTCTTCTGACACTCCCAATGAGATCAAGTTAGTTCCACGGTTCGTCAACATCAGTGGTGCTGCATCGTGGTGGTATTGTTTCAAATTAAATATACGGGCTCTCACATCTGCTCACATTACCAAACGGGACATCTGCCCCTCCAATACTGAGTACGAGGAAGGTATTCCGGAGTGAATGCAGAATTGATGTGTCTTAGTTATACATACACGCATAATATGTTCCTCGTTTAATTCCTGCTTTTCGATGAATCGGTTTTCGTAACTCATAGGACCCAGGCAGCCAAATAAATTCGGAGGAGTTGCAAGTTCACGCGAAATGGTAAAAGTGCATGCGCAAATCAGAAGCTGATTAAATGTCGACTTATAGATTGACAAATGCAACCACTATTTTTAACTGGTGTCGTAAAGCACTATTTGACGTAGAACGACACCCATTCCTGTTCGCATACATTTGGCTTCGCGGTAGGAGACAAAAATGCTTAAAAAAACAGCTTCAGTGCACTCAAGGTGCATTTCCACCACGATCACTGTTCTGACTGAGGACTCAGCCGAGTGCAGTCAGGCAGAGCTGCATATGAATCACCTGACAATCGATAAGGTGCTAGTTGCCAGCTCAGTTAATCTCATTCTGTAGGAATCCGAGCTTGAACGAATGTGTATGGGAGACATCGGAATTCAATACCGAGCTAGACCAACCAGTCAATCAACAATATCAGTTGACTGAAAAGGTATACCGTAAAGTTAAGGAAAGTGCAACGATATTTTGCATTTATGCGGTATCCTTCGTTTACACAATAAAGCACCTTTTCGGACATATCAACATGTTCTCCCATTTGAAAACTAGCCACCCTCTCTCACCGAGAGAGGACTGAGTAGCTGCGTGAGGTGATGGGTTGGGGGCTTCCATGATGGATAGACGTGAACGGTGCTTTGTTTTTACTTTCAGAGTTACCCACCTTGGGTTGCTCAGAGACTGGACAAATTCGGCCCCACCCATCCTCACCCATTCTGTGTGATGGAGAGAAGTTCATGCTAATCTGTGAGCGTTCACCACCAAACATGATTTATCTCTGAATTGCATTAGCATGAAGCGGCAATGCCTCATCTTCCTACAGTAACAGGCCGCAATGAAGAGTCGGACACTCTACTCCAGACCCTTCGTGTCACACATCCTCCACAGGCAAGTAAAAAGTCCGAAAGCAGAACAAATATCTACACTATGCTTCCAAATATTGGCGCTCTACAAATTTGTGGTCCAAGTGAATGAACCTTGATCTCTTCTTCCAGCTCTTGTTAGATGTTTATGCCGAGGCCTCGATCCGAACGAGGTGTCTGAGACATCTATCACTGTTCTAAAATTTCTAGGCCAGGAGCCTTGCGACTTGGTAGGTGTCTCCTGGAAGTTCTGCCTTGAGTCCGTCAAAATAAAAGGAGCACGTCAGGATTTATGTAGCTCTTTCTCATCAATTTTGTGAGAGAAATGGACACAAATGACTCAATCCTCCCACCCTTACCTTGAATGGACCGACGGATAAAATTTGTGTATGCAGACGACATAGTTTTAATTGGGTCGAAAACAGATGTGGTACATCCTTGCCTGAGAGGACGTTGGGTAGTGTTGCATGCCTTAGCGGTTGCTTTGCACCTGCAAAGTGTAAAGCATGGGCCAAACTCCCCGCCAGTTCCCACTAATGCCGGAAAACCGCTGGAATTTATCGAACGGTTTGTTTACTTGGATGGCTACATCACTTATAGTGATAGCAACATAGAGAAGATATTCGCATACATGTCTAAGGCCTATGCGACTTCTCAAAGTCTCAAGCATTTATGGAGATGGCAGGATGTAAGCTTATTAGTCGATGGAAGGCTTTACAACGATGTGGCGCGGCCAGCGGCTGTTGCTCGCCCGTGAAATTTAGAGACTGACGGTGTTTGACCGTTTCTGTCCGAGCGGTAATGCCCATGGTTGGTAAAGCGGTCGAATGAGTGACACCGAGTCTTGGTAATGCGAGAGATAAGTCTAGTGGGTCTGTGGTATAAAAAGGAGGCTGTTTAGGTCGGTAACATGTGACTTGGAAATTCGGAACAGTCATTGCGTGCTTCTCGACCGTAGCATACTATTGTCTGCAAATGGTGGTAAGCTTATCCATCGTACTCGGGTGCACAGTTGGTATACGGAACAGGACTGAGATGAAATTACAGTGAAGGAGGAGGAGGTGACCAACTATGAGACTGAATAGTCACCACATTTGTTGTCATCCTGGAAGAGATTTGTGGAATCGGCCGCATCAGTAGTCGGAAACCTTTCCTGATATGGCGTAGCCCAGATGCCAGCGGCGTTATTGGAATTTCTCCGCTGCCGCTAACGGTTTAGTGTTCAGTCCCACACAGTGAATGTTACTTGCATAGTTTAAGCAATGTTTTCTGGATGCATTCTGTCTCCCTTTGATGTGGAAACCGGATGCGGAAACATGAGTATCTTCATCCGATGTTTGCTTATACTTAAATGCCCGGATCGAGTAAAACGCACTCACACGCATACTGCGCCAATGAATCGCGCTGACGCCCAATCACAAGTTCACACGCACACACCAACATTCGACTGACGCTGGCCCGGTCGCCCGCCCATCCGATCTAATTAAATCGATTCAGCTCCGCATAAAAGGGAACATTAGATATCGTGTACCTAGGCCTCAGCGCAACTATACCCAGTCAGACAGCCATCTCACGTTCGGAGAAACACTGAACGCGTGTCATCGTTTCGGGGATAGTTGGCATTGTGGGTTCCAGCTGCCCGCAACAATACCCCTACGAGCAAGGGAATAAGACCACTTGGTCACGAGAGATGGTGGAGACGGACATGACTGCTTCTAGTTGTGTTATAGCACGGCTCATTCGTCACCCCTTTTCTACTTTACCACTGTGCGGAATGAGCTGCGTTATATTATTCGTTTGCTTATTAGGATTCAAGCCCCGAGATGACCTGAACAAACTGGTGAGTCTAAGTCAACCGGAGTATTAAAATAATGACGTCGATGAACAAAGAAGATTAGGATGAACATTCAAACGAAAAACAGCTGCAAAACAATAAAAGTGCGAAGAAATTCAGTGGCTCACCTTGGTGTACCACCATCTTACGGGACCTGACTCGACCGAGATAATTCTCCGCTTGACAAAAGAAGACGGCGCGCATTGTGGATGACTTGGCTGCAGTGAAATTGAGCCATCCGTCACCAACAACGATCTCGTTGGATTTCGTTTTGTCTGATGTGTATGAGATCTCTTCAGGTTCGAAGGGGCGATGTGCGGCTGACGGTCGGATCTCCACCGGAACCACCTGATCCGCTTGGAATGTTTCGCTAAATTGGTAGGTGCACATGGAAGGCCTCAGAACTCGGAAAAGTGGACGAAAGTAGATGGAATAACTTATAAGCCTGATGGAAATTACCGCTGCATGTAGAAAGAGCCAGGATATCCAGTTGACCTATTGGTTCGTCCGTAGCTCGGCAGTGAAGCGTGTATGGAAAAGTACATGTTTTGGCGCACAAGCAATCCAACAATTGGCATTGATGAATGATCTATAATGTGGGTTACCTACTGGGTGTTGAGTATCGGCGTCGCTGGGTTGAATTAAAGCCAGCAGAAAATGCCAGGTAGTGCACACTGCAGATTCCCAGATTTCAAAACAACGCAAAATGCTGCTAGCTCCGAGTAGGTACCGAAAGGCTTAAGTAAACTCCGATCTTGACAGTAAGATCAAAATTCTCTAATCCCCCGCATCGAGTGAGTAGTGTGTGATGCCATAAGGAGTCCTCATAAGAAACATTGGCTGACACAAAGATAGCTTGTTCAACCGTGTTACCATCTTCAATCCTATAAATACCAACAGCCCTAATTGCTTTTAGTGAATCCGCACGCGTCATCGCTCTATGATGAGCTTTACCCAGTCTTGTGTAATATCCTTCGATCGATCGAAGTTTTGCCGATACGCTGCCATGGTGTGCACCAGATGGTTGCCTGCACTGTTTCCAGCGCTCTAGACGAGTGCAAATATAGGCTGTCTACCCCCATGGAGAACCCGCACAGCATCTCGATCGCACAGAACATATGGTGCCCAATGACCGGCTGTGGGATGATTTGTGGCGGGGACTCTGGCAACCTGATACTCGTCAGCTGATTTTAACGCATCAGCTGTGCACGCCAGTACGTCGTACAGGCACTTCGCTGCCACGTGACAACCACTGTTCGAGCGTAGGCAATGGATAGTGTGAGGTCACTCGCGCCCACGCAGATGCGGATCGATGACCCTTGGATAACAAGGTAGACGATTCAACCCTTCGGCCACCGGATGCGTTACTAATAGACACGGAGAAGATGAGTCGGTACGGTTCAGCTTCTGCCCCTGGGTTCGCAGTGTGCGAGCAGTCGCAGTCTCGTGGCGCACAGCCTAACCCTAAAGACCACGGATTAACCGGGTTGGTTAATCGATCCCTTTTCCTTCAACAGGAGCACATGCTGGATTACAGTGACCGTGGAAGACGGTAAAACAAATCAAGAAACAGCTGAAATCCCATGAATGCTCTGCACGGCCCGATGAAGGCTATGGAAGATAGTTAAACAAACACTGATATAACAGGTATGGTGAGGCACATAAATTGGAAGTGACCTGACCTGGTACAGCACGGATTCAGAAAAATAACACCACTTAATCACTTGGAAACACAATGGTGCAAGAATAAAACATCTCTGGCAACGTAGCGTAGTTGTGAAGTGATACAAGAAAGCCCCTCACTCTAGGCGTAACTAAAAAGAACGCCAATCTTGACCGAGTCAACAAGTTAAGGTTGTTTCAAAGAATGCAAGATAAATAGTTCCCATTTACCATGACGGTCGTCCCTGAGCCTCGGCGAGCCGGTCAAAAGTCGGGACAAACGCCACAGGATGTTCGCTATGGCGAACCAAGGAAGCTAGTTTCACAGCATTAGCATGGCCTGCGTACGACCGTTGAGCCAAGAAATTATTATCTGCTCACCTCAAAGGCGACACTCGCTCCAAGCGGATCATTGGGTATGAGAACGGCAGAATTGCCGGTCAAACAAGGGACATGAAATGTCTACTCAGATCAGGAATGGAAGTCAAGTAGGAACAATGTGACAGCTTAGGAAATATAAAGTGCAATTCGAAAGATCCGTAGCTCAGTTCGAATTAGAAGCTTGCTGTTCAAATCGCAGGAGTAGCCGTGAAAGTCTGTCTCTCTAGAACTGCAAATCGCCGCAGTTGTAGCTTGGCTTCTTATACCATCGTCTACCTTACTGGCTTGAATTGCAACCTGAAACCCCCCATCAATGACTTGGACAGAGATAGCAAGAATGCGCTGGTACCAATTACCATTCTCTACTGACCACCCGAAAATTAGTACTCAAAAGAAGAGGGCTCACCGACAATAAATTCACCAGTTTCGTTTGGCACGAAACTTATGTAAAGCAGAACTGGCCACCGACGTGGCGTGGCCTTTGGTGACCTTGACCTATGTACAGGATTGATTCGTAACCGGTTACACCCGCCTATTAGATGAAAATGCACACCTAGTCCTTGTCACTCGTATCGTTATGGGTATATGCAACACCTTGCAAAATGGTCCAGGCAATTTGCGTATTTCAGTGAGCATTAAGCAGATTATTCATTAGCTAAGTGCGCGATAGTCGTTATCCTTGATCACGCATGTGCCGCGTGCATTTAACAAAGGAATGTAGGAAGCGATTAAGGAATCAATTAAGATTGTCTGTATACCTCTGCTGTCACGCCAGTTTTAACTAACACACGTCCGCAGATCTAGGAAGGTAACACACTAAATCGAAGAGTGAAAGCATCGTCTGTCACTTACTCCAAATAACCGCTGAATCCGAGTTCTGAGGAGTCGTCGTTTAACTGAAGCGAACGATTTACAGGTGCGTTTCTCCCCTGAGCTGCTGAATTTTGCGAAGTGCCAGGTGCCGATCTTGCTCCAACAGAGCTCGGGAGAGAGAACCACCGAATAATCGGTGGGGGATTTCCAGCTGCTCGGCACCGAATTTCCAGTCCGGTACGGTCGAAAAATCGAATCAAAGCGGGTAGGTCCGGTAAAATTCGAGGTGGTGAGTATGTTGCCACGTCTCGCTGTGTCCGCGCCAGTGGGTATGTTTCGGAAGACAGGTAATGGGACGGAGTCCATATCACTACTGGACCTGAGGAATTGCGATGAACTGGGGAAAAAGTGAAAGGCATTGATACAGTTACACAACACTTATAAGGTGGCGGATGCATCAAGTAACGCAAAGATTTTGTGAAGCAGAATGGATGAAGAAGGTCAGTGAGAGGCGGTGAAGCAGATAAAGTTGACACACGGTGAGTGTGGGCATAAGGGTGTGTTGATTAAAGCGACAGACAGAAAAGCTAACCCATTCATTCGGTTGCGCTAGTTGTATTAGAGAGCATGACAGGGAAGATTGATAGCAGGAGTGCGCTAGTGCCAACTCGAATTCTCTGCAGACTACCCGCGGAGAATTGAGCTGGAGATTACTGTTCAAAAAAGAAGGCTCGCCATAAATAGATGCAGCAGCTTCGTTTGGCGTGAAACCCAACATGTTAATGTCGTAATTATGAAAGAAAACCTGAGCTGACCACCAACGTGGCGTGGCCTTTGGTGACCTTGACTTATGCATAGGGTTGATTCATAACATCGACTGTGCACACCCATTGGGAGATTAATATGCACCGCATGAAATGAAGGGTTTCAAGGTGGGAATGATTGGTACAACTTTTGAAAGGAGTAAGCAAGTTATAGGTTCATACAGCTGTGAATTTGGGTTGACAGAGGCATTTGGAAGGAAGAAATGTATGAGTAGTTTTGTAGTGTTGCGAACAGATGGACGGAACGTTGAGTTCGGAGTCGAAGTCACGAGATGAATACAAATAACGGCTCTAGGTGCGCATGCGCTATGTTGTGCACCGCACGTGATAAGTTCGAAATATGCGGGCACCAGCTGGTGGTGGTAGCGTGTATGGATTGAATTCGCTGAGAGCGCAAACACGATAGACACGGTGCCATAGCTCAATGATACGCTGAGAAAAGCGTGTTTTTAGAAGAAAACCTATCTGCAGCGACCTCGCTAGAACTTTAGCTTAAACTGGTAAATCACAAGATGAATTTTCGGTAACGTTCCCAAGTCTGCACGGCACGACCGCTTTCGCCCTTGTTTGGAACCTTTGAGTAGTTATTCTGTGTCGCGATCCAGACACACGACGGGTACTGGATAACACAATAATTAATTACAAGATCTCATCGAAAGCCGAGGAGGAACATACGAAGTGAGAATGATGGTGCGAAGGATGCGGGGATGAGGAGCTGGAATTTCATCAGCGATTTGCGGTCCGCCATACTTGGGTTGATACGTGTGTGGAGATATCTCAACATTACCACCAAACCGCATATCTCGGACATTATCCAACGCAACGAACCGATACAAAAATTGTACACAGAAACAGAGTCAGAAAGTGTGCCTGTTCCTAGCAGTTTAATGAAACTGCAGGGTTCCGCTAAGCCCATCAAGGGTTGTGCGTAGCCATATGACCAACAACAAATGCCGACTGTCGACAGTAGACGGTCAAATTGCTCGGGCATAGTAAGATGGCAGGAAATAGTAGTTGTCTAAAGTAGGGTGTAGACTATCCCGATGCATAACCAAACAGCTGCGTCTTCGTAGAGTGCAGGAGGCGCTCCTGAACTCATTATCTGTAAAGCCATCGTGATCACAACAGCGCAACGGTGAACTCAAAGAACGGGAACAAGTCACAGGAGGAAACGATCGAACACTACCATCATCTCGGGGGAAGGGGGACCAAGAGCAAGCCCGTCTTTTGAGGACAATGGATGCACTCAGGCATCACATCGTCCATGCGAAGATACCAAACGATAAAACATTTCACAATAAATAAAGTGGAGCGCCTGTCCATTGAATCAGCAAAGCAAAATTTGGAATACTGCGATGAGCGAGCAAAGGCGAGAGGAGGTTACGTTGAACGCACAGAAAACCTCCATTCAGCTGTGTGGTTCGAATGATAACCACCCAAGCATATTTGCTGCCTACATCGCTCAACACGACGAATGTGTGATATTGACATGGGCCTATAGTACCACAATGACGTAACACACACAAGTACCTGCATGTATGCTTTCTCTCTAACCCTATATGGGAAGACATCATCTGTGAAACACAATTGTGTGCTTATTGTTCTGTCTCTCACGTCGTAGAGAAATAAAAGAGTTACTAGTCATTTATGTAGTGAGTGTTGCACAAACTTGCCCGTTGAGTCCAAACAGGCAGAGAATTGCGGGGGAAGGAAAGCCGTGGCAATTAAGAGAGTAACAGAAAGTTCGCCGATTGAAAATCCTTGGCTCGACATACAACCAAAGTAACAGCAAAGTGATGGATGCCCTATGTGCTACGGGCCTCGGTTAAAGATGGTTTGGGGCTAATGCTGTTCATCTTGAGAGGAATGTCAGTAACTCTAAGTGTGCCCGGTGCGATAATCTGTGTGACAGGGTTGTGACAATGGTGGGGAAACCGTTCTCCCTATACTGAACCGCATTCGGAGAATATTCGGTTTCGGATAGGCGCGTACTGGTGCTGAAGCAACCGCGGTTGTTTGTGGTATTTCAACTGTTATGGCTGTTGACTCCAATGAAGCCGGACAAATGGAATGCCGTTGAGACCTCACCAATCAGGTAGGACCGACGTGCCGGTCAATGGTGCAAGCAGTTGCTGGGGAACGAAGTGATTGTAAACGATTGGCCGAAGCATGAGTCGATAAAGCGCATTTACATCTGGTGTTAGAAAAAGATGCAAGTGACTCACAAGGCGACATAAGCCAACACAATTTGAGCAATAAGAGTTGGCACGCGAACCACTGCGGAGCACAGAGAAGAGCCAACCGCGGGTGGTATCAATGGCGAAGCGTTGTAACACAATAGGCATGACAAATATCAGTTTGTTTGTTATGAACAGCGCTTGATCAGTTTTTACGAAGAGCCTCAAGATCAAATTCCTATTTTTACTCACATGATCTCTTAGGGTGTCAATGAATTGAAACGTGCGTAGTATATGCGGGGATGCGATTCTGAGCACGGACTCAGCTGTGTGAAAGTCTACTTTGCCTGAAGTTTATCGGTCGGATAATCTCAGCCTGCCGCCCGCAGCCTCGAGGATACATATGAAGATGGGATTGAAACGCACTTAAACAATCGTGCTGCACAACCGGGACGACTAGATTACTACCACAAAAACACGCTTGATCGCTGTGGGACCAATCACCTAGCTTGGGCACTTAGTCCATCTAGGCATCTGAACATGTATTCTTATCTGTTGTTTACGTTTCCATATCATTCATTGGTGATGTAGTAACCTGATGAAGAACCACTGATAACAAGAGCTTGTTCGCCAACTTTTTCTGATATACACACCTGGGGTATTTTATCAATTGAAACAATTCAAGGATCCCATTGCGCTTAAAAGACTTAACCAGTACAACACTTGCGATAACGAAGACGACAGTTCAGTTTCTTGATGAGTGTATTTCGTGTTCCGAATATCCAAAACACCTTTGAAAAATACTCCGACGAGATGAGGGTAATCCTACAAATATTGCTTTGAAGTGGCATACGCTAAATGAACGTGACACAGTTACTTCGAGACTTGATGATTTGGAATGTAAGCAGTGCGTCTACTCCGCCACCCTTTGTCATCTGGATGCGGAGGAACAAACACAATCCGAAGCATTTGTTAAACGAGTAGTCTTAAAGCAAGTGTAGGGACGAATAGCTTCACTGCGGCAGCATATCAGCACGGGTTTTTCCATCCGACCCGGAGAAAGTAAGTTCACAATTTTTCCTCCTTAACTTAGGGTAAGACACTGCTTGAGGCACTTTCGCTCGGTCCAAAGTTCTATTATTCCCATAACAATATAAGCCAGCTTGAATTTGAAAACGTGTACTCCCAATCATTTAGGCACGTGCCTTCATCAGCTTTAGCGGCTGAACGCTTTAAGTCCACCATGGTTAATACCTGCTATCAGTACCTAAAATACAAGTCTAAACTCAGGCATCAGTTAATAAACGAGCACCTATACGCCTTCAAGGGGATTGAACAGGACAAGAATGTGACGGGCTCAGGACCAGCTAAAGGAGCAGAGATAGTCCTAATGAAGAAATCTGACTGTCGATAAGATGAATGTCATCCTCAGGGATCACTCAAAATTTCGGAGGAGGAGGAAGGATAAAGACAAAACGGTTGCCATCGAAAAGACAGTTACGAAGTGGTTACGCTGTCTGAGACGAGAGAATACGATTCATTCAGTCGCGTTCGAATATACGCGTCCTACGAGGACAGTGATTCCCCGACTTTATGGCTTGCCAAAAGTGTATGATGGGCTTCCAATGAGACCCATATTCAACATAGGTGATTCTCGATGGCGAAATGGCTTGATAACGTTCCAGAACCGGTCAGGAAAGTGATACCAAGGCAGTCTCAAGGATACCTACAGCTTTATAGACTCCGTATAGAACACGGACCTAACAAGAAGGAGGATGTTTTCGATTGATGGATCACTCTTCACCAAAATCCCGTTAGAAGAGACAATCAACTACCTATGCGATACTACTCGAGCACATCATCTGGACGTCGGCCTCTCGAACGACCGACTGAAACAGCTCTTCTAGTGTACATGATAAACATATAATTTCAGTTCAACGGGTCAGTCTATAGACATAATGATGGAGTTGCTATGGTCTCACCGCTAGGAACGCTACTAGCAGATGTGTTTACAATTAAATTAGAGAACAGCTGTCTGAGAGGATTTACTAATAACTGTATACTACGGCCGTCGCGTAGCTTATCAAGAGTTACCTTATCTGTTGCATACAGCAGAGGGTAGGCGAGGACATGCAACCGTTGGCGCCTCCATTCTTTATTTTCCACCTGGCTGTCTTAAACCCCTCCCAGTCCACATTACTAGCCTCCCTTCCATAGTTCCCAGTTTAATTGACAGCAACCGTGATGTCAATGAAGTAATACCATCTGCAGCAATCTTACCGCACCACCCAATGGACGCCTATCGGCAACAGTCCATTATAAAGCCACGCTGTCCATTGTCTCTGGCGGCGCTCAACATTCGAACTCTAAGGCAAATACGTCAATAGGCTCCACTC